TGACAAACTTGGCGGGTGGACGTCAACGGACTTCGAATACCATGCAGGAAGGTATGCCGCCATAGCTCGTGTAAAGCAATACACACAGTCAAATCTCGGAGATTTCGTGATATTTGAGCAGGTGAGCAGACGATATTTTATATTACAATTTTCGATGCAAACATAAAAAGATAAGGACCGTTGACGTTATGCAGCGTTCGAAACTAACGTCGGTCCTTAGGCCCGTAGCCGACTGACAACCACTCGGACCCACAGCTTTTGTTTTCTGTAGGTCCTTGTGGTCGACAGCTTTTTCATTCCCAATAACGAAGAGTATTAATTCCATATTAAAATACATGTTTAGAAGTTGGAGGGTAACATAACAACATATGGTATGGATTTACAACTTCTTTAATTTTTTAACAAGAAGTTGTAAATCGATACCATACGTTATTATGTTACTGAACGCATTTCCTGTGCATATGTATTCTAAGATTGTGACAGGTAACCCGGATACCCGAGACAGGTGGACAATGATTGGACCCGGGTACCTGTCTCAATACCCAGACCCGTTATGATCATGTGACTAATACATTACACAATGAATATGTTATTCTTTCATGATAAAAACGTTGCATTGTCTTTGAAGATTTAGACATTATTTACAGTCACCAGTTTTGAACGTAATACATGATTAAGATATTGAAAAACTCGAAATTTTACCCCCGAGCTGAAGAATATATTCATTTACCATTTCTTACAAATTTGATGTCAGGAATTAACATAACGGCTATCCGGGTAGGGTAGGGTAATAGGGGGTGGGGTACCCGGGTAGAATATTTCGACCCGTCCCAACCCTATTGTATTCCTTCAGATTTCTTGTTCTATCGGACACTCGACACATAGACTCGTCGCTACATGGCTGATATGATGTCGATACGACTACCTCACTAATAGATCATATACATTGTATTCAAATAACGAAAATCAAATGAATGTTTTCCTAAGTACTTTCGATCGGCTTCTTATATTATTCAATAAAGACATTCACAGATATATATTCACAAGTTGAACCGTGTCTTCTTGTCTAGGAATACACTCGACAACTGGATAAATTGTAAATACATACCATTGTCCGAAAAAAAGTGTTAACTTGCAGCATTATAAAGATGGAGCTTTGCTGACGGGCACCTTGAACCACAATGACGTCATCAGCAGTTTCCCGTCGTTCCACATCACCGACAGCGTCCCTGACCTCGGCTTCCTGTCGTATGGCGGTATCATGGTTGGGGATACTGGAAAGAAGATGGGGAGGTATTGTAAGACAGTGACCTTTTGTAGAATGAGTGAGTGACGGATTTGCTGTCCACTGACCCCGTGTAGGGATTGAAAATTTAAATCGTTAAATTAAACAATGATTGATTGTTATTGTGAGCAATGTTTCAAGCCAGGTGTACAGTGACCAGACTGACCACCAGGTCCATTCAGTCTTACGGGACGTATTAAAACATGCATTGCCCAAGGCGTAGCTTGTGGAGTGAAGTGACCAATGTCGTTTGTTATGTATAGTGAGTAGGTGAGTTTAGTTTTACGCCTGACCACCCAATCCCGTTAGTCCCCTCTTACGACAAGCATGGGTTACAGAAGACCGATTCTAACCCGGATCTTCACGGGTTGTTATGTATAGAAGATGGACAATTTTATATTCCCGGTGTATATAAACAAAATCAATCATGCATCTTTGAAATGTTGAAATTGATAAGAATACGAAAGAATCTTTATTCCGTTATATGGCTGGGAAATTGTTGAATGTGGCGACAATAAAATTAACACCATACATACAATTATCTCCATGTTTCAGATGGCAGAAAGGAGAAGCTAAACCAAACTTTGGTATCGATGGAGGACCATTGTGTATTTTCAATGAAAATTGAGACACGGTAGTTATCTCCCCTTTCAGCCAATTTATGGCAGGCTCCATGTTCCATGAAGACACGCTCACCACTGATTCAGTCAACTGGGGCATTATGGGAAGAGTTGAACGTGTTCCCGCGGACTTCCGGTACCAAACTGTTGTCTACTACAGCGGCCAAGGCATAAATAAGGTAATGAGATTTACTAAACGATGAGGTATATTCATCCCATGAATTAATTGAGACATTACAAGCCAGTGTGAGAAATAGAAGGCTAGTCGGACTAGCTGTGCCTAAAAGTTACTAGCCGACAAATATAATTCACAAGCCCGAAATATGAATGTATAAACTAAGCTAAAGATTACACGAAGGTAAGCTGCTAATATGATGAACACTTTTTTCAAGCCATAAACTTGCATGATTTAAGAGGGTGTTTTAACTTAAAAGTCGGAGAGAGTGATATATTTACAAAATGAACCTATGAAAATTCACTAGCCAGTCGGGATATTTACTGGCCCGATTGGATGTTTACTAGCCACGGGCTAGCGGGCCAGTGGTTATTTCGCACAAAGCTCACCCCTTTTGTCAATGAGGAATTGGGCCTAAGCTTAGTTTGAATCGCATAAACAGGAATGCATTTCGAATGATATCGTGTGCAGAGGCGCATTTGGGTAGCCCAGTGGTTAAAGCGTTCTCCATTCACATTTAAGGCCCGGTTCCGATTCTCTACGTTGGTACAGTGTGCGGAGCCGTTTGCAAACCATGATATTACTGTAATATTGTTCAAGGCGACGTACAACAACACTAACTCAAACGTTTGCAGCTTATGTCGGCGATGTCTTTCATAGCTCTTCACACTGTATCAGTGGCAAACAGTTAAGGTTCGTGCATGGAGTAGAGCTTGTTTGACTTCCGTGAGTTGTACAAGCCATGTTTCTTTGGCGGACGAGTCCCTGATTTGGTGATCTTCCTTCTGGTGTTGGCGATCTATAGCTTGTTTTTATATTGTATTGTCCAAATAGTGCTATCAGTTGTAACTCTCCATACTAGTTTTAGTTGTAATTGAGATATTCTAGTTGTTTACTGTCCTTCGTCGACAGGTTTTTTATAATATACATATATTTCATTTCAATATCAAATGTTCTCGTCACGATATGGCTGAAATATTGCCGATGTGACGTTAAATATTAACTCACTCACTCACTCACTCACTCTTTGGCGGACGGACATAAATGCACATAACATTGTAATTTGGCGAAAGAATACTTTCGAGGAAATGACAAACCAAGGGTTGTTAAGATTTGTGATCAGCGGATCCTGTTGCGGGTAAGGGACACACTCCGTGAAAGACTAACGGCATCATTGGCAGTTAGCACTCATTATTGACTCAAAATTACGGATGGCACAAACCGATATTGTCACTTCGATTCTCTCTAAAGTTTCAGGAGGGGTGGGGTAGCCTAGTGGTTAAAGCGTTCGCTCGTCACGCCGAAGTCCCGGGTTCGATTCCACACATGGTTATAATATATGAAGCCCATTTCTGGTGTCCCCCGCCGTGATGTTGCTGGCATATTGCTAAAAGCGGCGTGAAACTAAACTCACTCACTCTGACGTTTCAGGCATTCGAGGGCTGGGGGAAGCTCCTTCGTAAATATCACGACAAGCATCAGAGTATGAGGGAAGCTGACTTCACGCTAAACTATCTGGGATACTGGACTGATGGCGGTAGGTCTCCAGCAACGAGTTCACACATTTTGCTGATTACAGAATTATTAGTCAACTTTTAGACCTCGAAATGTCCTCGACAAAATGTACTTAGGTCCAGTGACGGATATCTATATGAATTGGAATCATATTTCCATTGATTTTTAGTCAGGATTAGGTGAACCAAGTGATCAACAGCATGAGCATAAGGGGCAGATCCAGGAATTTGAAGCAGGGGGGTGTAGGGGTGGTGTTATATAAATCTTGAATCAATTGTTTGTCGTTTAAAGCCAACAGTATTTAACCTCTATGGTGGCAGACTGTACATTGTCGAGTCTGGAGAAGACAACCAGGTGATCAACAGCATAAGCATCGAGTTTCGCTATTGGGATATAATAACATGTGTCAAACACGTCAGCGAGCCTGACCATTACGCCTCTCACGACAAGCATGGGTTGCTGAGGACCAATTCCAACGCGGATCTGGAAATACGTAAATTCAACCTTCTGTCGCAATAATATTATTCGCGAAGAAATTATTAGGAGAGTGTCGTTCCTCACTGAACGGGGACGGTGGGGCAGCCTAGTGCTTTAAACGTTCGCTCGTCACACCGAAGGCCCGGGTTCGATTCCCCACATGGGTACAACGTGTGAAACCCATTTCTGGCTGTAATATGATTGGCTGCCTTAAGTCACGTGTACGATTTTGACCAATCACGATCTTACAGCAGACTGTGGCGAAAAATGGTCATTAGAAACCAATCAGAATCCAATAAAATCGCTTCTTACAACTGTGAAAATACTCTTGGCAAGGGTACAGTGATATTGTTGATGTTCAGAGCCTTCGAACAATAGCCGCCATCAAACGAATCGCCTCACATGTTATTCATACGAAGCTTCGAAAATCGTGGTATTTCCCGCTGTTGTATCACGTTACCGAGCGAAAAGCCACTGATATCGGGAAATAGACGACCATACATATTATTTGAGAAATCTTTTTTAAAATAAATTTCTGATTACGTAAATATGAAAATATAACAGAAAAAGGTACGGGGGTAACATGACATGTTACAAATGGAAAAATTGCCGCATCATTTGCTCCCTTCGTGGTTTATCTGGACATTATAAATGTGTAAGCTTGCGTTTTCATTAAAAATTAATCTATTTAAGTTGCAGTTGTATTATTTGAATAATAAGATAAAAAATAAATTTCATGTTTATAAATAGTAGGATTAGACCTTTCAAATGGTGTATAATGTAGTAGCAATAATGCTGATATTTTTCTTGATAAACATAGGCTCCATCTATGACCCCAGAATCTCATGGCAGTAAAAGCCTCTGGTAGACCGGGGTTGAAAGAGTTAATTATGTTGTTTCCATTACAAGGATTGGCTGAACGACGAATTCAATGGTATGAACGCTTTCCTCACCAACATCAGCATTGGACGTGATTGGCTGATGCTGATGGGTCAATCTGCCAGGAAGAATGGAATCAACATCATGTACTGCATGTCCTATTCCAGAGAAGCCTTGCAGAGTCTGGAGATTCAGCAGTCACAATGGTAACATTATATTCATCATTACTAGTGAGTGAGTTTAGTTTGACGCCGCTTTTAGCAATATTTCAGCAATATCACGGCGGGGAGACCACAAAAGGGCTTCACACATTGTACCCATGTGGAGAATCGAACCCGGGTCTTCGGTGTGACGAGCTAACGCTTTAACCACTAGGCTACCCCACCACCCGTCATCATTGCCAAATATTCGGAAAGATTCTGAATCAGTATTAAGTGAAGCAGTACTTAACGTCGATTTGCCTTCCTCAATGATTGTTTCAAAAACACGGAAGTGTGCCATAGATGTAGGAAGAGCTGGGATCATTTCGTAGGTTTTGTTTTGTTACTGCTTAAACACATACAGAAGAATGTCCAGCAAACCGTACATCAACGGTATAATCTGGTGAAGACTCGTTTGTGTTTCAAGCATATTCGATGGACAGATATTTCTTTTTAAAAAGTACTCCTGAAGCTCCGGATAAAATGTCAATACACATGATTGTGTTATGAACGGCTTAATGATCATTGTATTCTGTAATTAGTTAAGCTGGATAGATTAAACCTCCTGAGACTGATACTGTTCAGCCAACTACAGTGCTTTTGTCTTGACATTGTCACTGTGAGTGGACTACATAAGTGTATGTAAGTGTATGGCTTAATGTTAACGTTAACGTCACCGTCGCATCAGCTTTATCGGCCTGAGTTTGATTAAAGGAGTTTGAGTATTGTTTCGCCGTTTTTAGCAATCAATCATCATCAAGGTGTGACCAGACTTTAAGTGGCATCGATGGGCTGTTTTACCGCTTATTCGTGCTGAAATCGAACTAAGTCAAGTATGCCGCTTTCACCACAACCCCAAAGCCCTTTCTTCAAGGTAACGTCATGACGTTTTGGGGCACGAGACCCGTTGGATGCATGTTCGTAAAGTCAACATAAATTGTAACCAGAGTCCCGATCGACAAAGCGTCCGTAAAACGTTACAACCTATCGTAACTCTGTATTTATCATAGGCTTACGAATGTCGTAGCGCTACGAATACTTTGTGGGTCAGGGCCTAGATTTTCGAAGCTCTCTTCGCGCTACGATAGTCGTAAGTTATTGTTAAGGTATGACACTTACGACTAGCTTAGCGCTAAGAGAGCTTCGAAAATTTAGGCCCAGGACCCAGGTGGTGAAAATGTTAGTCAAACTATAGTGAGTACGTCTTTCCGCCGATTTTAGCAGTATTCCAGCCATGTCACGGATGGACTTCACACGTACGTATGGAGAAATCGAAACCGATCTTTAGCGTGACGGGTGAACGCTACAACCACTAGGCTATCCCACCACCCCCAGTCACACCAAAAGGCGAGTCCACGTGAACTGACTTTGTCCTTTTCTACATAGGCACGTTCCAGCGACGACTACAGCCCCGGTAACGACAACTGGAAAATTGGTATATCGTCGATATTTGCAGATGCCATTGGTCTTGCTCCGTTTAAAGATACCTTCTGGACTACTACCAACCAGCCAGGAAACTCTTACAGTAAATCCTTTAGCTTCTTGATCAAACACCGTTCATGATCTGGTTGGTATTATGGACCCTGCTTTCTACAGATAATGCTTATGAATATTACACAAACCGTGGATTTTGTTCGCCTTTTGTAGTTACATTCCCAAATGGGATCGAAGTTGTGCAAAACGACTGATCCCTCAGAGGTTATGTAAGGGTACATCTATCAGAGTGCGGTTCTCCGAGTCCTGTAAGTTTGATCATACAATAATTGTTTATTCCATTGTTGATGCCAATCGCCATTAAGTCCATACAGCGGGATAGTGGTGGGTTAGGTACCATAGTTACCAATTGTCCCATGGTCCCTTTTATCCTGGCCTTAGGTTGCTGGTGACCTTTAGAAGTTATCATCAATTGTTCGGTACAGTGATACCTATTTATACTTGCATACTAGTTTGCTTAGTAAGTATGTGATTTTCTCGTGTATATTTCTTCCTTTATTGACAGGTTTGTACATAGTGGAAATGAATATAATTGAAGCATACATATTTAATAGTAACGAAATACTGACGATGTGTCTTGAGTTGAACTTATTCACGTTAACGTTGACCCCCGTTAATATTACGGGTTAGAATTAGACGGATCATGTATTGGACTATTCCGGAGTGCGGCGTGAAACAGCACACAAAACCAAAGTATGTTGGGTTTTACAATTTGTCCCGTTAATCGAAAGTCCTATTCAACAAAACGAATTCTATTGATATCCTGAATATTTCAGACAAGTCTGAGCCAAACCCTGGTCTCCATCTGACGGTGGCTACTCTCAGCACTGCGGCGGTTGGGCCCGGGGATTCTGTGACAGGCATGAATGTGTCCTTGATTGAAACGTGCGTGGGAATCATCCCTTCATTCGTGTGTCTTATAATTACAAACACGTGAAGATCCGGGTTAGAATTGGTCTTTAGTAACCCATACTTGTCTTAAGAGGCGAAGGCTCGCTGACTTCGTTGGCACATGTCATCGTATCCCAGTTGCATAGATTGATGCGCATGCTGTTGATCACTGGATTGTCTGGTCCAGACTCGATTATTTACAGACCGCCGCCGTATACCTGGAATATTGCTGAAAAACAAACCAATCAACGAATGTCATTACAAACCATTAATATTACCAGCCTGAGATGATCACATCCTGTATGCTTGGTGATAAACAGCCTTCTCACTAGGTTGGTATTATCAATGTCTTAAAACCACATTCTTATTGTCATATGTAAATTTATTGCAACATTGTTTTTAATTGCCATTGCTGTTTATCACAAAATGATGAAGGCCACGAGACGTCTATTTCTCAAGGGCATCGCTCCTTGTACTCCTTGGGAGTGACACCTGGGAACAGATACTTTTGTTAACACCAGGAACATCGATAATTGAATAAATGTCAGTCCTCTATTCATACAGCACATGTTTGCTGCAGATGCTGTGACTCAGATGGAAGGATATTAAAACCAACGGAACCAGCTATGGCCATTGATGCGCAAATTCTTCAGGTTGGTCATTAACGTGATAGCCTTCGTAGACAACCTGTATGCTCATTGAATTCTAAAGTTCCAAATCAAGTCGCATGTTGTCTTGACCTTCGAGAATTAGATCCGTGCTTTCACCACGATCGTGGTCAGCTACCTTTTCCTCGTGGTGAGCTCGAACGCTGACATGTAACCGACGAATACTGGTTTTGAAGCGGTTAAATCTACTTCACTCAGGCTGAGGGTGTCGTTGTCGGCACGGGTACTACAGATGTGTACTCCAGTTAGGTTTCTGTAAACAGAAATGTACCCTAAACAACATCAAACTGCTGTGAAATATGATCGTTTCTTATATAACGCAATCAAATGCATCTAGTACAACATCACGACAGTTCCGATCAAGAAAACTGCACAGCGCAGTTGGAATGGAACTGTCCTTGGGTACGTTTCTGTATTCTGATTTGGGCAAGGGTACATTTCTGTATACAGAAACCTACCTGGGGTACATATCTGTAGTACCGGAGCCGACAAAGACCCCCGTCAGCTTCACTCACTATCCACTAAAATGTTATTACATGTAATTGCCAATTGTCTATTTCGTTCAGTCTGCTCTTGGGGGGAACCCTTGGCCCCGTGGGTGAAGTCTGGACAACGTATTCCAACATTCAGAACTTCTACTTTGGCATCGTCTTGGCAGCAGCGACAACAAACACCTTCTCCCTGAGACCTTCTCAAGCCACATTTGGAGACAAGGTATTGTCCTCCGTCAGCACTCTCTGACCACTTAACGCCACATAGGCTAAGATGAGGTCACCTATAAGTCATGCAGGTTGTGAGCGTCCAGTTCTTGGGTGATCAGGTGCGGGGTAATTTGATTCTTTTGCTTGACGATGCTGTTCGTTGCTCGTGATATCAATCACTGGTATGTCTAGTCCAGTTATTTACTGGCCGCCGCGCAGATTAAATAAGATTAAACCAACACCTATTCGGAGGACTCTGGTAGTACTGACGCTGTGTGTGGACGCGCTGTTTTGTTTGAACATGTAGCGAAACACAAAGTACGATAACAACGATATTAATTAGAATACAAGAAACTACCTTTCGACTGGTAGCATCAACCCTGAGCTGTATAAGTGAGTGAATGACAGGGCAGCATGTCCTGGAGGATGAGTTCAACACGCGACTCTTGTCCCGAATGAGTGAGACTAGAGTGAATGGTTTTACGCTGCTTTTAGCAATGTTCCAGCAATATCATGGCGGAGGACACCATATATAGGCTTCACACATTGTACCCATGTGGGGAATAGAACCCGGGTCTTCGGTGTGACGAGCTAACGCTTTAACCACTAGGCTACCCCACCACCCGTCATCATTGCCAAATATTCGGAAAGATTCTGAATCAGTATTAAGTGAAGCAGTACTTAACGTCGATTTGCCTTCCTCAATGATTGTTTCAAAAACACGGAAGTGTGCCATAGATGTAGGAAGAGCTGGGATCATTTCGTAGGTTTTGTTTTGTTACTGCTTAAACACATACAGAAGAATGTCCAGCAAACCGTACATCAACGGTATAATCTGGTGAAGACTCGTTTGTGTTTCAAGCATATTCGATGGACAGATATTTCTTTTTAAAAAGTACTCCTGAAGCTCCGGATAAAATGTCAATACACATGATTGTGTTATGAACGGCTTAATGATCATTGTATTCTGTAATTAGTTAAGCTGGATAGATTAAACCTCCTGAGACTGATACTGTTCAGCCAACTACAGTGCTTTTGTCTTGACATTGTCACTGTGAGTGGACTACATAAGTGTATGTAAGTGTATGGCTTAATGTTAACGTTAACGTCACCGTCGCATCAGCTTTATCGGCCTGAGTTTGATTAAAGGAGTTTGAGTATTGTTTCGCCGTTTTTAGCAATCAATCATCATCAAGGTGTGACCAGACTTTTAAGTGGCATCGATGGGCTGTTTTACCGCTTATTCGTGCTGAAATCGAACTAAGTCAAGTATGCCGCTTTCACCACAACCCCAAAGCCCTTTCTTCAAGGTAACGTCATGACGTTTTGGGGCACGAGACCCGTTGGATGCATGTTCGTAAAGTCAACATAAATTGTAACCAGAGTCCCGATCGACAAAGCGTCCGTAAAACGTTACAACCTATCGTAACTCTGTATTTATCATAGGCTTACGAATGTCGTAGCGCTACGAATACTTTGTGGGTCAGGGCCTAGATTTTCGAAGCTCTCTTCGCTACGATAGTCGTAAGTTATTGTTAAGGTATGACACTTACGACTAGCTTAGCGCTAAAAGCTTCGAAAATTTAAACCAGGACCCAGGTGGTGAAAATGTTAGTCAAACTATAGTGAGTACGTCTTTCCGCCGATTTTAGCAGTATTCCAGCCATGTCACGGATGGACTTCACACGTACGTATGGAGAAATCGAAACCGATCTTTAGCGTGACGGGTGAACGCTACAACCACTAGGCTATCCCACCACCCCAGTCACACCAAAGGCGAGTCCACGTGAACTGACTTTGTCCTTTTCTACATAGGCACGTTCCAGCGACGACTACAGCCCCGGTAACGACAACTGGAAAATTGGTATATCGTCGATATTTGCAGATGCCATTGGTCTTGCTCCATTTAAAGATACCTTCTGGACTACTACCAACCAGCCAGGAAACTCTTACAGTAAATCCTTTAGCTTCTTGATCAAACACCGTTCATGATCTGGTTGGTATTATGGACCCTGCTTTCTACAGATAATGCTTATGAATATTACACAAACCGTGGATTTTGTTCGCCTTTTGTAGTTACATTCCCAAATGGGATCGAAGTTGTGCAAAACGACTGATCCCTCAGAGGTTATGTAAGGGTACATCTATCAGAGTGCGGTTCTCCGAGTCCTGTAAGTTTGATCATACAATAATTGTTTATTCCATTGTTGATGCCAATCGCCATTAAGTCCATACAGCGGGATAGTGGTGGGTTAGGTACCATAGTTACCAATTGTCCCATGGTCCCTTTTATCCTGGCCTTAGGTTGCTGGTGACCTTTAGAAGTTATCATCAATTGTTCGGTACAGTGATACCTATTTATACTTGCATACTAGTTTGCTTAGTAAGTATGTGATTTTCTCGTGTATATTTCTTCCTTTATTGACAGGTTTGTACATAGTGGAAATGAATATAATTGAAGCATACATATTTAATAGTAACGAAATACTGACGATGTGTCTTGAGTTGAACTTATTCACGTTAACGTTGACCCCCGTTAATATTATGGGTTAGAATTAGACGGATCATGTATTGGACTATTCCGGAGTGCGGCGTGAAACAGCACACAAAACCAAAGTATGTTGGGTTTTACAATTTGTCCCGTTAATCGAAAGTCCTATTCAACAAAACGAATTCTATTGATATCCTGAATATTTCAGACAAGTCTGAGCCAAACCCTGGTCTCCATCTGACGGTGGCTACTCTCAGCACTGCGGCGGTTGGGCCCGGGGATTCTGTGACAGGCATGAATGTGTCCTTGATTGAAACGTACGTGGGAATCATCCCTTCATTCGTGTGTCTTATAATTACAAACACGTGAAGATCCGGGTTAGAATTGGTCTTTAGTAACCCATACTTGTCTTAAGAGGCGAAGGCTCGCTGACTTCGTTGGCACATGTCATCGTATCCCAGTTGCATAGATTGATGCGCATGCTGTTGATCACTGGATTGTCTGGTCCAGACTCGATTATTTACAGACCGCCGCCGTATACCTGGAATATTGCTGAAAAACAAACCAATCAACGAATGTCATTACAAACCATTAATATTACCAGCCTGAGATGATCACATCCTGTATGCTTGGTGATAAACAGCCTTCTCACTAGGTTGGTATTATCAATGTCTTAAAACCACATTCTTATTGTCATATGTAAATTTATTGCAACATTGTTTTTTTAATTGCCATTGCTGTTTATCACAAAATGATGAAGGCCACGAGACGTCTATTTCTCAAGGGCATCGCTCCTTGTACTCCTTGGGAGTGACACCTGGGAACAGATACTTTTGTTAACACCAGGAACATCGATAATTGAATAAATGTCAGTCCTCTATTCATACAGCACATGTTTGCTGCAGATGCTGTGACTCAGATGGAAGGATATTAAAACCAACGGAACCAGCTATGGCCATTGATGCGCAAATTCTTCAGGTTGGTCATTAACGTGATAGCCTTCGTAGACAACCTGTATGCTCATTGAATTCTAAAGTTCCAAATCAAGTCGCATGTTGTCTTGACCTTCGAGAATTAGATCCGTGCTTTCACCACGATCGTGGTCAGCTACCTTTTCCTCGTGGTGAGCTCGAACGCTGACATGTAACCGACGAATACTGGTTTTGAAGCGGTTAAATCTACTTCACTCAGGCTGAGGGTGTCGTTGTCGGCACGGGTACTACAGATGTGTACTCCAGTTAGGTTTCTGTAAACAGAAATGTACTCTAAACAACATCAAACTGCTGTGAAATATGATCGTTTCTTATATAACGCAATCAAATGCATCTAGTACAACATCACGACAGTTCCGATCAAGAAAACTGCACAGCGCAGTTGGAATGGAACTGTCCTTGGGTACGTTTCTGTATTCTGGTTTGGGCAAGGGTACATTTCTGTATACAGAAACCTACCTGGGGTACATATCTGTAGTACCGGAGCCGACAAAGACCCCGTCAGCTTCACTCACTATCCACTAAAATGTTATTACATGTAATTGCCAATTGTCTATTTCGTTCAGTCTGCTCTTGGGGGAACCCTTGGCCCCGTGGGTGAAGTCTGGACAACGTATTCCAACATTCAGAACTTCTACTTTGGCATCGTCTTGGCAGCAGCGACAACAAACACCTTCTCCCTGAGACCTTCTCAAGCCACATTTGGAGACAAGGTATTGTCCTCCGTCAGCACTCTCTGACCACTTAACGCCACATAGGCTAAGATGAGGTCACCTATAAGTCATGCAGGTTGTGAGCGTCCAGTTCTTGGGTGATCAGGTGCGGGGTAATTTGATTCTTTTGCTTGACGATGCTGTTCGTTGCTCGTGATATCAATCACTGGTATGTCTAGTCCAGTTATTTACTGGCCGCCGCGCAGATTAAATAAGATTAAACCAACACCTATTCGGAGGACTCTGGTAGTACTGACGCTGTGTGTGGACGCGCTGTTTTGTTTGAACATGTAGCGAAACACAAAGTACGATAACAACGATATTAATTAGAATACAAGAAACTACCTTTCGACTGGTAGCATCAACCCTGAGCTGTATAAGTGAGTGAATGACAGGGCAGCATGTCCTGGAGGATGAGTTCAACACGCGACTCTTGTCCCGAATGAGTGAGACTAGAGTGAATGGTTTTACGCTGCTTTTAGCAATGTTCCAGCAATATCATGGCGGAGGACACCATATATAGGCTTCACACATTGTACCCATGTGGGGAATAGAACCCGGGTCTTCGGCGAGACGAGCGAACGCTTTAACCACAAGGCTACACCACCACCCCGAACTTTTTAAGTGGCTTGAACATGAATCCATTGATTGTCCTTAACATCCATATTATTTGAGATTTGTATTACAAAAAAAAAAAAATGTCTGATAAGGGCATTACAATACCTTGCCTCGTATTTTTAATCTGCAAACAATTATGATGAGTAAAGTCTGTGTTTTCCCAGTTGCTACGTAAAACAGTTTTGACAAAGATAAAATAGCTGTATGTCAATTTACCCAGATGAAGCTTTTTTGATTGCTGTTTAACGTCGCACAGAACAATATTCCAGCGATCTGTAAATAATCTATTCTGGACCAGACAATCCAGGGATCAACAGCATGAGCATCGATCTGCGTAAGTGGGATGTAATGGCACACGCCAACCACTTTAGCAAACCTGACCACCCTATTGCGTTACTTGCCTCTTATTGGCTGGTGAAGACCAGTTCAAACCCGAATCTTCAAGGGTATGACCCTGGTGACAATCTATAAGGTCTGTTGTTTCCTCTGAAGAAATGTTTTAAATGTAATACTATCCACCTACCATAACGGTGCTTCGTTTTTGACACAAACATTTACAGGCTATGTTATTTAGTTGGAGACAATAGTGCTGTTATTCCATATTGATGTTTAGCAAATATAGAGTAGATAAAGAAATTGGTATTTGCAGTTGCAGTATGGAAAGGTGTACCCACCACAGTCCTGGACGTCACTCACGGATTTCAACGAGAGACAGCCTATAACGATCCAGGCCTGCTCAACACAGCATTACTGCCTGTATTACATATCTCCAGTTCTCATTAACAAGTTAGTACAAGTGTAGTTGAGGAGCATTGTGGGTTCAAGCTCTACGCCAAAATCCCGGTGAGAGACCAGCAGTATCACGGCGGGGGACACCAAGACTTGGATTCACATATTTTACTCATGTGGGCAATTGAACCCAGGTCTTCGAAATACAATAGCAAAGCTGGAACAAGGTACCCACCAGTTGGGACCCATGTTTTATCGGAATCCCCGTTGGGGCGCTAGGAAAGGTCAAGATGAGATCATCATACCATTACTGTTTAAGCTTTACGCCAAAATCCCGAAGAAAAGGGAATTAATATAGATTTTCATAGATGAGATGTCTAAATTTCCCAATAGCAGTTCTGTATCATTTAAAAAATATAAAGGACAAGGTATGATAAGGGTGGTTTTTGGCCCACAAACAGAATTGGTTGAACACATGTTATTTGTTTAGAGACAAGATGGCTTTGCATAAAAAAACTATTTTTCAAATGATCTGAGGCCATCATTTCAATGCAGAGGGGCCAAAAATGGGTTTTATCAGTTCCCATGAAAAAATAACAAGAAATCTGAAATATCAGTGTGCCATAATGACTTATATACAACTATCAGTTTATTTACATACAAACAGTATCAGTTTTGCAACAGGTATTCATGATGAAGAAACATGTCAACATCAATCACAAGGTTTTAACTTCAAGGGGCCCAATTAGGGTTGCAATACATTGTGGACAGTAATTCAATTACTTGCCAATTGATTACAAAAAGCACATTATTCGGAACTTTCTTTGCAAACATAAACTATAGGCCAATTTTACAACATGTACTTATGATTACCAATCATGTCCCACGAAAAATCACAGGGGGCCCATTTTAGGTCTAATTACATCTTGGGCACAGCTTGATTTTAACAAGTAAGTGTTAAAAGTCAGTATTCACAACCGGTTTTAGCAAATATACAGTAAAAATCTCATTCACAACATGTTATTACTATAACCAATCATGTTGCACTAAAAATCACAGGTCTTGACCTCAAAGGGGCCTATTTCAGGTGAAATTACATTCTTGGCACAGCTTGATTTAACACCATGCAAGTGTTAAAAGTCAGTATTTACAACATTCTTGCAAATATATACAGTAAACATCTCATTCTCAACATATTGTTATAATAACCAATCATGTTGCACTAAAAATCACAGGTTTTGACCTCAAAGGGGCCTATTTCAGGTGAAATTACATTCTTGGCACAGCTTGATTTTGACACCAAGTAAGTGTTAAAAGTCAGTATTCAAAAATCTTCAAAAAGTAATTATTCACAATTCATTCACTGCAAATATATATAAAACATCCACTTTCACTCTTCATCCACATGGTCATCAATCTCTGAATCAGTTTCTGAATCACTGTCAACAACTGCAGCATTCCACCCTGTATCACTAGAGTTGCTGGAAACAGGCATATTGTCAACTGAAAAACAGATGACTTTATATCAAAAGAGAATCCTGTTTTAAAACTTTGATATTATAAATCTATTCAAGGGTAACATTACTTATTTATTTTCAAATGTCAGTAGTCTGGCCTTGAAGGCTTATGCAGATTTAATCACCACTGAGACATCAGTATTTCTGAAATTCTGTCACATTAAATAAGAAAATTGAAGAAAAAAATATTGGTTATTTTTTAGCACTCACATTATTCTTACCTTCCACCTCAAGTTGTCATCTTCATGAAATGACACTCCTGACATCAGTCCAAGCAAATTTCTCTTATCTGAAAAGAAATATTTGAAATCATAAAAGAATTATCATTATGTTCAAGAAATTGGTGCTTTGTAATTTTTCTAATGCTAAACATGTCAATAGGATAGTTATATAGGGAAGGGAATTGACCTCCAAAACCATAATCAATTGTTGAGGCCACTTTTTGATCAATTGTAGATATAAGATAAAAACAACTGTTAAAGCACATGAAAACAAAGGTAATCAGTCCTCAGTTTTAATATGACAATTGAAACCAATAGTCATTGATTCTGTAAACATATTTTAAGAAGAAATAGTGAACGCTTTAATTGATTATGTGATTTGGTTATCGGTAATTGACTGGCAGTCCACAAAATATCCATAAACTAATTATTTGTTTGATCAGTGCACCACTAATTAACAGCTCTGGACAGTTTGTAAATATTTACTTAAAGAAATTACCATACTAACATTTTGAAACAATGCTTACCTTCTACAGGTTCTTTATTGTGTGGGAACAAAGTGGAAACGTCAGTGTCTTCAGGCTTAAACAAGATTTACATGATGTTAATTCAAGTTTGTTTGAACAGTGTAACTTACATTACCAAACTTAAGAATTTTTTTTTACAAAATTTGTATTTCATGTGCACAAGTCTTGTCAGCCAATTTACAATGTTTAACTTAACTTTTGAAGAAAAAAAAAGAAGAAAAGAAAAAAACAATTAGGATTTGAACCTGAATGTCTGATAACAGAAAAAAATTGAGAAGCCATCACTGTAACCACAAGGCTACAGATTCTTCTGTTATTGTTTGTCACTTTAAGCTTATATATCACACTTTGCAACAATGTGTCACTTGACGTCTGCTTGCTTTTCATAATCTGCTAGCCCTTGATACAATGTTCTTATTCTTACAATATTAAATGTAGCCTGATATATCCTAGAAAACATCAAGGTACATTATATTTGTTAAAATGTGTATGTTTATACACAGTTACATCCAGTGGAATGCCAGTGTTATTTGACATTGACAGGTGACACAGAGGGGTTTGCTAAACAGATGATAGAACAAATACGATAAATTCTAGCATAATTACAAAGATTCTCACCTTTAGAATGCTGCCTGATCATATTTTGAAAAATCTTCTGATGTCTTCTTATTTTTCCAGCAGTGATCAACAGGGTCTCCGAAAAACTACCCTTGTTTACCTCAAAGTAATCAGCCTTGAGAGTCCCTTAGGATATTGAATTGTGTTTAATAAACATGTTTGATAAGTTCATTTTAGTGCTCTAAAACATTCAAAATAGTAATGAATAATGGTATAGTTGTGTAAATGTGACGGATAGTTTTCAGAGATATTACTTTACGCCAATTTTTGAGATGTTGTATGGGGCAATTTCATACAACAGGAAAAAAGTGTCAGCAAAAGCGTGACCCACCACAATTTTTTAGGAGTGCATTCTAATTTACTCTCTTCATGTGTGGTGAAAAAATTGGGATGGGTCAAGCTTTTGTTCACACTTTTTTATCACTCTGAAAATATGAAAATGCAGGTTTTTCGAAGATATTGTAAAATAGGTTAACTTTGAGGTCTTCAAAGAGGGAAAAAACAGCACTAAAACATATAAAAAAAACATATGGAGGTAATTTCATCACTTCATTTAGCATTTTTTATGCTAAAATTATCATGTTGTAGAACTTTGAATATCATGAAATTTTGTGGGCCAATAAGGGCCTTTATCATACCTTGTCCTTTGGTTTTAAGTTAAAATTTACTAAAACTGAAAGCATTTTGAAGTATTTTTTTAATGCTGACTAAGCAGTAATACAGGGGAGGGGTGCACAATCTTGAGAATCTTCATTTTCACGAGTCTCAATGGTCATTTAATGAACTTTTAGGACCAAAAAAGGGATGGGTGGGGGTGAGGTCGCACCCCTGCAACCCCGCCTGGATCCGCCTATATTTTAGCCCCCTCTCTTTAGTTCTGTGAAGATATAACACAAAATGAGTGAGTGAGTTAAGATTTTTAGTCACATCGGCAGTATTTCGGCCATATCGTGACTAAAGCAAGTTATAAATATATCAACAATTTAAGTGAAATTATAAAACTCTGCCAACGAAGGACAGTAAAATAACTAGATTATCACAGATATATATGTAAAACTAGTAATTGAATGTAAAACATTTTAACTATGGGGGACAACACAATATAAAAGTTGGCACCCATGAAGGGCCACCTCCTCGTGGTGGGTGCTGGGTCACGCTAAGCGCCCTTCAACCCCCCGTTGTGGACCCGGGGGGATATTAGGTCCACCAACCCGTTTGCCGTGGGTTGCGCCCCTGTGTCGGTGGAGGACGGGATTCTGGTGGTTGAGGGCAAGGGTTCCAGGAACAGCGTTCCTTTGCCCAATACACCACTTCGACCCTTACTTCACCTAGACGGGTGGTTGAATGGGCCCGGTTCAACCAATCGGCTGGTCATGCCAAGCCCTGTGCATTCTATTTTATATTGCACAAATTTGATTTATTTACATGATCCTGTTTTGGGCATTGGAGAAAAAAAGAAAAGATTTCACAAATTTTGAATTGACTTTAAATTAGAACGATTGTTCCTTTTGCCTAGAGTCGTATGCCCAGAAGGCGGTGGCTCATGGGCCAATTCAGTGGGATAATTAAACTTTTAGTTTTTCTGCTGGAGTATATCATCTGAGTATCCTTGGTGCTGCAAGTCGGTTATCCACTTGTTTTTAGCATTGTCTTTATGATACTCCATGGCGGGTGGGGAGCTCGGATGATGAACCTTCTACGCTAACTATGGACTACCAAAACCCCCAAAAACGAAACAAACGTCAATTGGACAGTGATGATGACGACCAACGACCGTCTACCTCAATTGAATACTGGCCACGATTTTTAGTTATCGAGACTCTTGACAAATCTCCTTTGAAATTAAACCCTTTTGCAGTGTCAAAGGGTGTACATGGTATTGCAGGTGAGGTCCGCAATATCAAACGATTGCGCTCAGGCTCTTTGCTCATCGAATGCAGCAGGAAACAGCAATCAACAAATTTGATGTCAACTCAGCTGTTTGTTGGAATACCGGTTTCGGTATCTCCACATAGAACCTTGAACACAAGCAAAGGAATCGTCAGAGACCGGGATCAACTATTTGCAGATATGAGTGAATTAGACATAGTCTCTGAAATGAAAGAACAAGGAGTGACGTTTGTGAAACGATTCACAACACGGAAAGACTCTGAGACTAAACCCACAAACACTTACCTATTCCATTTTTCTTATCCAACTGCTCCAAAATCAGTTAAAGCAGGGTATTGTCATCTCAACGTTGATATTTACATTCCCAACCCACTGAGATGTTTCAAATGCCAAAAGTATGGTCATGGTGTAAACAACTGCACAAATTCTATTACATGCGCTCACTGCAGCCAAAAAACCCATGTTACTGAAGATTGTGGTAACAACTTTAAACAATGCACTAACTGCTCTGGTACTCATTCATCTTTTTCAAAAGAATGTCCAATCTGGAAACAACAAATGGAAATTAATAAAATTAAATTTTCAAGGAATATTAGTTTTGTTGATGCCAAAAAACTTGTTGTTCACACACCAGAACCAAATGAGTCCTATGCTTCAGTTACGAGATCCGGAACACACCAAAATGTAACTTCAACTGTGTCCACTTCATCAACGCAATGCCAATCTAATTTGACATGGGTTGACTCTGATGCACCTGAACTCTACTCTCCTGACCAGTCAACGCAAACCGTTGTATCAACATCCACAACAACTGCTAGAGCAGAAGTTGAATCTCGGCCATCTTCCCAGGAACAATCATCATCACAGTCTACTTCCAAACTTCCATCTGGAATTAATGGGAAGCAAGTATCGAAACATAAAAACAAACCAATAAACGAATCTTCAAAAAAATACCATAGTGGCAGAGCCTCAAAAGGGACAGAAGACAAAATCCAAATGTACAATAAGTTTGGACCTCTCGAAGACATGGATGTCTCTGAAAACATCCAGTACAGGGCTCAGAGCTTGTCGCCCAAAAAAAAGACAAGGGGTAGATCCCCAATCAACCCACCAAAGACATAGTTTCTTCACGTATTGTCCAATGGAATTGTAGAGGACTAAAGACCAACTTCAATGAATTACAGCTATTGATTCAGGATTTAAAACCATCAGCTTTCTGCTTACAGGAAACCTACCTGAAGCAGGCGGACAATTTTAATTTACGTCAGTTCATTGGATATCATTCTTTTTCTCCTCCGGGTGACAGGGCCACTGGAGGATCTTCAATCCTTGTTAAGCAGGATATTATCCATAGTCCTTTAACACTTAAAACTAATCTCCAAGCCGTTGCAGTGCGGATTACTTTTCACGTGGCTTTTACATTATGCTCGCTATATATTCCGCCTTCATCAGCAATTCATCTTGCTGATCTCCAATCGCTCTATAATCAACTTCCGAAACCCTGTGTTTTTGTGGGTGACCTAAATGGTCATATCCCGATCTGGGGTAGTACAAACACTAACACTAAAGGTAAAATAATAGCAGATTTCCTCTCAGATAATGATCTGTGTATATATAATGATGATTCACACACTTACCTCCATCCTGCAACCGGCACTTACTCTTCTTTGGACTTGTCTCTGGCTGACTCTAACCTTCTCAATGAATTTGATTGGTCAGTCCATAATGACCTTTGTGGAAGTGACCACTTCCCAACTATACTTTCAGAAATAAACCCAGCTGATTCTCCATCTTACACAAGATGGAATTTTTCCAAGGCTAACTGGTCCTTGTATGAAACTATGTGTACATCAAAACTACAAACTCATTTTTTCAGTGATGTAGCTGATCCTATTCAGGTATTTTCTGACGCTTTAAATGATATAGCTGATCATTGTATACCAAAGTCCTCTCCGAGTCCACATGTGCGGAAACCATGGTTTAGTTCAGATTGTAAACATGCTAGAAAAGCGAGGAAAAAAGCAGAGAAATATTTTCGCCATCACCCAACTGTCCATAACTTGAATAAATTTAAAATACTTAATGCGAAGGCACGTCATACCTTCAAACAAAACAAACGGCAGTCTTGGCGGGACTATGTGTCCAAACTTAATTCTCGAACACCTATGTCCAAAGTTTGAAATATGGTGCAAAGGATAAAAGGTAAAGGTTCAAGATCTGGTGTTCATCATCTGAAGGATGGTGACACACTCTTAACCAGTAAATCTGACATAGCAAATAAATTGGGAGAAACGTTAGCTCAACATTCATCTTCATCAAATTTTACACCGAAATTTCAAAAAACTAAAAAACACGCAGAAAAAAAGAAACTCAATTTTGCTTCAGATAATGGGGAGGACTATAATGAAGTTTTCTCCATTCATGAGCTGCATACTGCCTTGGGGCAAGCTCATGATACTGCTACAGGTTCTGATAATCTTCATTATCAGTTACTTAAACATTTACCTGATTCCTGTTTAGAAACTTTATTAAATATATTCGATCACATCTGGACAACGGGGAATTTTCCTTCATCAGCGTATGTCCTGCTTGACTGTATTGATTTTTCCATCACAAGGGATAAATATTTCAGTGTCACAACAATGAAGGATCTTTTTATAATGTACATTCTCATTTAATTATCGCATTTTTAAAAGAAATTGAATTATTAGATAAATTTTGAACAATATGTTTTGTAAATAGATAAATGTCATTTATTATCAATGGTAGTATAAATTAGCAAACTGCGATTGTTAGTGGCTGTATCCTCAAAGGGGGTTACAGTATCGTAAAATTATTGTCCTCCTGAGAGGATACGTACGTCCCAAAACTTTCAAAGTCAATTTAGTTCAACCATGCTTTTTAAACGTAGAATATTTGTTATTTTAAATTATGGCTAAATTCCCTTCCATCGCCAGCGGCTGAGGGGATGGTGTAAATCCAGCTAGGGCTCATGCAGGTAGCAAAAGTAATGTAAGTCCCCATGATCCCTAGTATGGTGATCTACTTTCAGTTGTTGGCGATCTATAGCCCGATTTTATATTGTGATGTTTTGAAATGATTGAACATTTTACACTGAACTCAAACTAGTTTTAATCCAATTGTGATATTCTAGTCGTTATACTGTCCTTCGCTGGCAGGTTTTTAAATTAGTATACATATGTTTATTCTTAGTACATAACTTTTTGTCGTCACAATATGCCTGAAATATTGCCGATGTGACGTTAAATATTAACTCACTCACTCACTCAATATAAAAATGGGCTATAGATCGCTAACAACTGAAGGTAGATCACCATACTAGGGACCATGGGGACTTACAGTACATTTGCTTCCTGCATGGGCCCTAGCTGGATTTACATCATCCCCTCAGCTGTTAGCAATTGAGAGATACATTAAAATTACACATATTCTACGATTAAAAAACGGAAAGTTGAAATTTACTTTGAATGTTTTGGGACTTCAGGAGGACAATAATTTTACAGTACTTTAACCCCCCTCGAGGATACAGCCACTAACAATCTATGTTACAAATTCAAACTTCCAATCATAAAATATTTAGCTATTTACAAATCTGTTAACAAATTTAATTCTTTTAAAAAAGCAATAATTAAATGAGGACTTATATTAGTAAAAAGATCCTTCATAGTTCGGGATTTGAAATATATATCCCTTGTGATGGAGTACTCAACACAGTCAAGCAAGACATGGTTGACCGTGATTCGTTCATCACAAGGGATACAAAACGGAGAATCCTCACCTTTTAATAGGTACTCATGCGTATATCTTGTGTGGCCAATACGACATCGTCGTATGATGACCTCTTCAAATCTGGACTGACAGCCCAAGTAGGTGTAACCGATAGTTGGTTTTATTGCATGTAATTTATTTATACCGACTTGGGTGTCCCACTTCTTTTGCATCAGATCACGGATATAAGATCTAATAGCAGCTTTGTAATCAGAGTATGGAATAAGAAGTGGTGTCACAGATTTGTTGAGGGCTGCCTTAGCAGCAATATCAGCCATCGTGTTCCCAGAAATGCCAACGTGGCTGGGTAACCAACAAAAGATGATGTCGCATTGGCCAGTAGCAAGATCATTATATAATTCAATTATTTCAATTAAAAGTGGATGTTTGCAAGATAGATTTTTAATAGCCTGAAGGCAAGATAGAGAGTCAGAAAAGATTATATATTGTTTATGTTTAGGATGCCTTTGAATATAGTCGAGAGCTGTTAAGATGGCTTTTGCTTCTGCTGTAAATATAGAGCTGTTATCTGGTATTCGAGAAGATATTGTTCTGGATCCAATGACAGTGGCACATGCCACTGCGCCACTGTCCTTGGACCCATCTGTAAATAAGGATTTATGTGTATTATATGTTCTTTTTAATTGATTATACTCTTGTTTATATTGTAATTCATTAGTTTCTGATTTTTTAAACTTTGTCAGAGTTAGGTCAACCTGTGGTTTAACCAACTGCCAAGGAGGAGAAGAAAGAAGACGGGAAGGAACTATATGTTCTAGCTCAATGCCAGCTGCAGAAAGAAAAGGTTTCACTCTTATACCAAGAGGCGGAACAAGAGAAGGCTTTTTGTTATACAGATCTTCATATAGGGGATTAAGGACACAGTTATATGCAGGGTTTGCTGAATAGTATCATTTATTTCTTATTCCAGCCCCGAGGTTGTTCTGCTTGGCGAAGTGCCATCTAAGGTGGTGCCAGTATCCCCGCAACGCTTCATTCAGATATCTATAGACACGGATGTCGCCTTGACCTTGACTGGCGGTGTCAAGGAGAACGTCACTGTCTGGTACAGCGTCAGCGGAACGTCCAAAAGCCACACCTGCCAGCTTGGGACAACAGGGGAGGCAACTCTGACACTTCTCGGGGGAATATGTAGACCAAACTAATTATCTATTGTCATGTATATGTTTTCGGTTCAATAAGAGGCCTTGCTTACGGAATTATCACTCATGGTGTATCTGGACATGTTCCAACTAAACTTTAGCTACATGTCAGTAAAACGCTATGTGCCCAAGAAGGATTACCTGTAATCGTCCTGCTAGGAGAAGAAATAGATCAGGACATCATTCAAGCCGACTTGGTGTCATTGTGACCTGACGGGATGTGAGGTTTATATCATTGTGTCGTTGGGTGAATAATCTATCAATGTGCGGTCATTTTCAAGTCAGTTTCTACATGAGCCTCCATTGTCTCATATACATATATCCAGCGCATTGGCCTGCTGCAGGCTTTAAAATCTACAGGCCCTGAATTAAATCTGCAGGCCCCAAAAATAAACTGCACTGTATACATCTCTCAGCGCCATAGGCTTCGCTAATTCACAGTGTTTCTACAAAATCAATTAGCGAAGACTATGGCGCAGAGAGAAGTTTTTATTTGTTAAAGACTGGTGTTGACATTCCTATGACCAGAGCGCTGAAATACCAGGAAGTCACACTGTAAGTTATCGTAACATGTTGGATCATGGATGATTCCCGAAAAAATCATGGAAAGGATTCTAGTTGAAAAACAAAATCACAGATAATTTACTGAAGGCCACAAGGGCCTGCAAATATTTGGAACTGCCGGCCCGATACAATAACAACCGGCGCTGGGCCTCCGGGCCGCGGCTAGTAAAAATCTAGTCGGGGCAGTAAATCTCCACAGTCACTGGCCTGACTGGCTAGTGAATTTTCATGGGGTCATTTTGTAAATATATCACTCTCTCCGACTTGTTAAGTTATAACACACTTTTAAATCATGCAAGAGTATGGCCTGATACAAATGTTCATCATATTAGCAGGTTAATGATAAGGCCCGTGTCATGCAGACAGTATCTTATTCTCATCTATTTTTGTAATCTTTGGCTTAGTTTCTACATTCGAATTTTGGGCTAGTGAATTATTTGTGGGGCTAGTAACTTTCAGACATAGCTCTCCCGACTGGCTAGCAAAATTTGGAAACTATTCCGCACAGTCATATATCATGTCTACATATCGTAGGCTTATGTTACCGGCGGCGAAGAGATGTAAAACTTGATGATGCGGTATGAAACAGTATTCATTCATCAGTTGTAAAACGTAATGTAAAACCAAAATTACATATCAAAACGGCATTTTTGTGAAAATGGCAAAGACACTTATGGGACTGACTGACTTAGTTTAGTTTTACGCCGCCTTTAGCAATATTCCAGCAAATTCACGGTGGGGGACACCAGACATGTCGATATGACATTTATTAATATTAAAACACGAGCTCTGGACCACCAGCAACCATACCTAGGCCACCCTCTGGGGTTCGTGGGGACTTACAGTACTTCAGCTTCCTGCCTGATCCCCAGCAGGATTTAAACCACCACTTCAGTCACTAGTCAGATATTAGAACAATATAACTGAAGCAATAAAACCCAAGTGCCAATACTTGGGCGGTTTGAAAATTAGATACTGCTAGGTATCGTCCGACATTTTGTTATGAGTTAAAACCCCAGTAAATCTCATTGCTGTTTATCATATATAAGATCACTATGCGACGATATATTTATATTTGGCATCTTCACGGAAAGTGTGACCGAACAGATTACTGCCTGGTATGTTAAGGACACATATAACAAATGGATGTGTGAGCTTATGTAAAACGTTAAAGATTCAAATAGAAAATGACGAAAACTGATTTTCCTCTACGACGTCAGAGTAGTCACACACCAATCCAATATGGCTGCAAGCTCTCTTCTCCGTTCATGTTGGTAATCGTGTTTATGTTGGTATTCTTGTTTATATTGGTATTCGTGTTCGTGGTGGTTTCGTGTTTATGTTGGTATTCGCATTCGTGTTTATATTGATATTCGTGTTATCTTGGTATTCGTGTTCATTTTGGTATTCGTGTTATGTTGGTATTCGTGTTCATGTTGGTATTCGTATTCATGTTGGTATTCGTGTTAATGTTGGTATTCGTGTTCGTGATGGTGTTCGTGATTATGTTGGTGTTCGTCTTTATGTTAGTAATCGTGTTTATGCTGGTATTCGTATTCGTGTTTATATTGATATTCGTGGTTATGTTGGTATTCGTGTTCATGCTGGTATTCGTGTTTGTGATGGTGTTCGTGTTTATGTTGGTATATGTATTCGTGTTTATATTGATATTCGTGTTATGTTGGTATTCGTGTTCATGTTGGTATTCATATTTATGTTGGTATTCGTGTTTATGCTGGTATACGTGTTCGTGATGGTGTTCGTATTTATGTTGGTATTCGTATTCGTGTTTATATTGGTATTCGTGTTATGATGGTATTCGTGTTTATGTTGGTATTCGTGTTTATGTTGGTATTCGTGTTTATGTTGGTATTCGTGTTCGTGATGGTGTTCGTATTTATGTCACTATGCGACGATATATTTATATTTGGCATCTTCACGGAAAGTGTGACCGAACAGATTACTGCCTGGTATGTTAAGGACACATATAACAAATGGATGTGTGAGCTTATGTAAAACGTTAAAGATTCAAATAGAAAATGACGAAAACTGATTTTCCTCTACGACGTCAGAGTAGTCACACACCAATCCAATATGGCTGCAAGCTCTCTTCTCCGTTCATGTTGGTAATCGTGTTTATGTTGGTATTCTTGTTTATATTGGTATTCGTGTTCGTGTTCGTGGTGGTTTCGTGTTTATGTTGGTATTCGCATTCGTGTTTATATTGATATTCGTGTTATCTTGGTATTCGTGTTCATGTTGGTATTCGTGTTATGTTGGTATTCGTGTTCATGTTGGTATTCGTATTTATGTTGGTATTCGTGTTAATGTTGGTATTCGTGTTCGTGATGGTGTTCGTGATTATGTTGGTGTTCGTCTTTATGTTAGTAATCGTGTTTATGCTGGTATTCGTATTCGTGTTTATGTTGGTATTCGTGTTCGTGATGGTGTTCGTATTTATGTTGGTATTCGTATTCGTGTTTATATTGGTATTCGTGTTATGTTGGTATTCATGTGCATGTTGTATTCGTATTTATGTTGGTATTCGTGTTCATGTTGGTATTCGTGGTTATGTTGATATTCGTGTTTATATTGGTATTCGTGTTATGTTGACATCCGTGTTCATGTTGGTATTCGTGTTTGTGATGGTGTTCGTGTTTATGTTGGTATACGTATTCGTGTTTATATTGGTATTCGTGTTATCTTGGTATTCGTGTTCATGTTGGTATTCGTGTTTATGTTGGTATTCGTGTTCATGTTGGTATTCGTATTTATGTTAGTATTTGTGTTTATGTTGGTATTCGTGTTCATGTTGGTATTCGTATTTATGTTAGTATTCGTGTTCATGTTGGTATTCGTATTTATGTTGGTATTCGTGTTAATGTTGGTATTCGTGTTCGTGATGGTGTTCGTGATTATGTTGGTGTTCGTCTTTATGTTGGTAATCGTGTTAATGCTGGTATTCGTATTCGTGTTTATATTGATATTCGTGGTTATGTTGGTATTCGTGTTCATGTTGGTATTCGTGTTTGTGATGGTGTTCGTGTTTATGTTGGTATATGTATTCGTGTTTATATTGATATTCGTGTTATGTTGGTATTCGTGTTCATGTTGGTATTCATATTTATGTTGGTATTCGTGTTTATGCTGGTATTCGTGTTCGTGATGGTGTTCGTATTTATGTTGGTATTCGTATTCGTGTTTATATTGGTATTCGTGTTATGTTGGTATTCGTGTTTATGTTGGTATTCGTATTTATGTTGGTGTTCGTGATGGTGTTCGTATTTATGTTGGTATTCGTATTCGTGTTTATATTGGTATTCGTGTTATGTTGGTATTCGTGTGCATGTTGTATTCGTATTTATGTTGGTATTCGTGTTTATGCTGGTATTTGTGTTCATGTTGGTATTCGTGGTTATGTTGATATTCGTATTCGTGTTTATATTGGTATTCGTGTTATGTTGACATCCGTGTTCATGTTGGTATTCGTGTTTGTGATGGTGTTCGTGTTTATGTTGGTATATGTATTCGTGTTTATATTGGTATTCGTGTTATGTTGGTATTCGTGTTCATGTTGGTATTCGTGTTTATGTTGGTATTCGTGTTCATGTTGGTATTCGTATTTATGTTAGTATTCGTGTTTATGTTGGTATTTGTGTTTATGTTGGTATTCGTGTTCATGTTGGTATTCGTATTTATGTTAGTATTCGTGTTCATGTTGGTATTCGTATTTATGTTAGTATTCGTGTTTATGTTGGTATTCGTGTCCGTGATGGTGTTCGTGTGGGTTTTTCTGTATGTTTTTTTCTTGGATAGAATCACAAAACCCTCCTTTGTAGCATCACAATGTGTGATCAATCAAAACCGTCCTTCAATGACACTTTAAGGACCGCTAATTTAAAGTGACCGATTCACCGCGTATGAATACAAGGAACTCGGAGACCTATTGTTTGTAAACAAACATGTCGGACATCGGTAATTTCTATCTCGGCAGCATCTTTGGTGTTTTTGAAATAAAAAGCGAATGGTTTGATGAAGAATTTCTTGACCCTAATCCCAGTGAAGAAACTACGAAGCTGGAAAATCCGTTAGCAGCGCAAAAGCGGCAGTATATTCATAGCGGGTCCTGGCCCCGATTTCTCGAAACAAACTTAAGTTTTTACTCAAATTTCAAACTGAGTTCGACAATTTGAAACAGCTGAATTTTTAACTCAGCTGCATTTTTAAAATAAAAAAGCCCGAACAACTAAAGTAGTCCATCCACCAAACTCAAATTGTCTAGTATGTTTGAGTTTAATATCGATTTCAGTTCATTCTGCTAAATGCATTTTCTCTATTTGAGTAAAAACTCTAACTTAAGTCAAAACTCAGACTGAAGTTTGTTTCGAGAAATCGGGGCCAGATCTATATATGTGTGTTGACGTCGACAACACACGTCGGCCCACACGTCCTAACCTGACCGCTTCCGTCCCGGCCGCAGTACTTGACTAGAA